AGTTTTAGATCTACTCAAACAAAAATCTTTAGACTTTAAAGTTGACCTTCATAATTCAATTTTTTCCCGAACTCTTTCTCTAGTATTATTGACAAGAACGATATCATTAGCAAAAATCATACACCAAGGTACATTCTCCTGTAAATGTCTGATAATAACATCCATAGCTAAAGCAAAAAGATATGAGCTTAAAGCTGATCCTTGATGCAATCCGACTGAAATAGAAAATAATTGGTGAATCTTCCTTCTGTTCGAACACAAGTAACAACTCTAGTATATAATTCATATCAACACCTTTCTTTTCTAAAACTCTCCAAAGAAGTTCTCTTGAAACCTTATCAAAAGCTCTTTCTAAATCAACAAAAATCATATATAAATCATTCTTACTCTCTTTATAATTCTCCATCAAACCTCTCAATGTATAGCTCCATAGTAGACTTGCCTCAAAAATCTAAATTAATTTTGAGAAAACTTTGTATCACGTCTTAACCTATGTTCAATTATTTTTTCTCATAATTTTAATTGATGTCACATTAACTTAATTCTTCTATAATTTGCAAACTCTTGTGCACCTCTTTTATTCTTAAAAATAGGGACTAAAAAACTCTTCCTCCACTTCTCATACATCATTTTAATTTTTAAAACATTATTTAAAAATTTAGCAAGTTTAGAAATTCTAAATCTCCTAAACATTTCCACACTTTTATTAGGATATTATTAAGTCATATGAATTTTTCATCATTCATTTTCTTTAAAACCACTTAATCTTCCGATTTACTGATACAACTTTAAAAATAAAATGTTTTATTATTATTAACGATAATAAAATCATTAAAGCCGGTTGTATTTTCAAAATCTTCATTAAAAATTTTATCAAATGCATAAGTCATGTTGAATAGCCTCATAAAAAAAATTATTTTTTGATTTTCATCCTTAATACACTTTGCTTGAACTAAATATTTACTTTTCTTATCTCTTTATATGACTAGTTTATATTTCACCTTCTTTAATATTTAATATAATATAAAGATAACCACAAATAGTTCTTTTAGACTCCTTATGGGCCACCTTATATTTTTCTCAATTTTTTAAGCTTTTAAATTTAAACCAATTTTTATAAAAAATTTCTTATATTTTATGTTCTCTTACAAGTTATTAGTTCACCCCTAACTAATTTTATTTATATGAGTTTTTTCCTTTTGATTCTTTAGGTACATCTTTTGCAACTTGCTTAATAGTCCTTGTTACTTTATCCCATATAGTATTAAATTCTTCATGAATATCCAAAATCTCAAGATCTTGAAGTTCACTTATAAAAATAATAAAAATTATGAACAACTGCATTTTTTTTTTTTAAAGAAACTAGTGATAAAACGTAATTTTGTTTCATACTTTGGAATAACATCTCATGTACTATATTTGCCAATTTAAATCCAAAAAAGAGAATAGTTTGGAAAATTCATACCTCCAGAAGCCCCTTCCCTGTCACAATCTCAACAGTGATTACGGTGGCAAACCCAACCATTGCAAGGCGACCGAGCCACACATCCAATCCCCCACTCTCCTTTGCACCCTGCTCACACCTGATCGGAACCCGCACCGATCGGCATTCAAATTTTCTCATCGAAGATGACCTAAAATCTACAGAAGTGAAATCTCAATAAATGACGCAGAATCAAAGGAGCAAGCATTAAAGAAATACTTGGTTCAAATATCCGTAAAGCCCCATTGCAGAACTTCTCAGCTGATGATGAAATCTTCGAGTGAGGGTTAGCTTCTGGGTTGTAATTCAGAGAAAGGACAAGTAGTTACCGAGAGAGGAGCCGCTTTTGAAGGAAGAGGAGGTCTGGGAGACTCCAGAACGCGGAAGCAAACGAGCAGAGGCTTGAGGCCTTTCGAGCTTGGCAGCCGAAGCATCTGCATCCAAAAACCGAACAGAATCAGCTTAATCCATTATGAAGAGCAACAGTAGAGAGAGAAAGAGAGAGAGAGAGAGAGAGACTGAGGAGGAAGGAGAAGGTGGAAGAAGCAACAAGAGCTTGAGCCATTAGAAACGGCGGTGGCTTCTGGTTCTGGTTTGAACACCTCAACTCTTATCTTCAAGATTTCATATGCCATTCTGCATCAAAAATCTAAATTTATACAGAAACTTCTTTTTTTAATTTTCATATACTAATAAGCCATATTCCATTCCAAGATCAATGGGAAAAAAAAAAAAATATGGCATTCAAAGTATTTGGAACAATTACAAAAGCCTCATTTCATGATTTCTATTTATATATTTCTTTTTTGCCTATAAATTCACGTTATAAAGCGGTATATTAATGTCTTAATGTTGTAAAAAAATCTAACATACACGAGTAAAAAGAAATTGAGAACGCAGATAATATGTATTTACATTGAAAATTTAAGAGAAAAAAAATCACAAGGTCTAGCTCAGCTGAAATGAGTCCACTATGCTGATGTATGCTACAAGATTTCTATAACTATATTACATAAGAGGTACAAGATAATAGCTAGAGTAGTCGAAAATATTGGAAAATGGTGGTGACTCGACTGCTATGAAGAAAAGCTGATGATAGGGGTGGTGTGCTTGAAAATCCATTGTCAATGTTTTTTGCATGCATGAAAACTCTCTTCTCTCTCTATATAAATAGAGCGATTTTGGATTTGTGAAATCAATCGATCTCCCTCAAATATTGTTGTTTCAAAATTGCATAAAAAGTGAACAAATTAGAACGAAAAAAATATATTTGCATAATAACTAAAAAATTGAAAAGAAATGTATTTACCACACAAGCCTTATGCATTTACATATATAACACCTCAAGTTTGATATTTAAATTCAGAGCACCTTGGATTTAAAATCCAATGTATGGAAGATGTATTGCACTCTTAAGAAGTTATTTATAGTGAATGTTTTGTTATGCCAAAAAGTTCAAGTTTAGATGTGTAAATATATAAAAATTGTGTGGAATGTCTGTAAATGTCCAAAAATAAAAATAATTATTCCTCAGATATGCCAAATTAAACATAACAGGGTTAAAATATGTCACATTAGCATTTGAGGGTCTAATGCATAACATGTGATTCTTGTTAATCAAGCGTGTGATGGACTAGTTGAAACAAAACAACGAGCAATTGGTGTTGTTGAAACAAAACAACGAGCATTTGGTGTGCAAACAGGAGTTTGTTAATCAGGCAAAGCCAAATAAGTTAAGAAAATCTTTGCAACATGCAATTAAATCTCCTTTTTAAATGTAAATATTTAGCAAACTCATTTGTCATGGATTATGACAATAGTTTCGAGAACTTCTATTTTAGGGCAATTTACATGCATACCACTCAATTCCTATATATTTACACATCTAATACCCAAATTGAATTTCTTACACATATACAAGCCGAATCTTTCATATCACAACAAAAATACTATTAATTTAACTTTTAAAAATTTAAATACACCATTTTCATGCATAAATAAAATAATATATATATATATATACACACACACTTACTATGTTATCGAGAGTGTAAAACAGTATGACTGACAAAG